CAGTCCGGAGGGGGTACGACGTTCCCGGAACGCCGTACCCCGCATCCCCTGCCCAAAGAGATGGGGCGGTGGTACGGCGTTCGGGGAACGCCGTAGCCCCTCCGGGGTCCGCAGCCCGGAGGGGGTACGACGTTCCCGGAACGCCGTATCCCCGGCCCATCTCTGCCGGCAGAGGAAGCGGGGGTACGGCATTCCGGGAACGCCGTACCCCCGCCCCATCTCTTTGGGGAGAGGGAGCGGGGGTACAGCGTTCCGGGAACGCCGTACCCCCTCCGGGCTGCGGACCCCGGAGGGGGTACGGCGTTCCCTGAACACCGTACCACCGCCCCATCTCTTTGGGCAGGGGATGCAGGGGTACGGTGTTCCGGGAACGCCGTACCCCCTCCGGGCTGCGGACCCCGGAGGCGGTACGGCGTTCCCGGAACGCCGTATCCCCTCTCCCTCTCCCCAATGAGATGGGGCGGGGGTACGGCGTTCCGAGAATGCCGTACCCCGTCCGGGGCTCGCACCCGGACGGGGTACGGCGTTCCCGGAACGCCGTACCCCCGCTCCATCTCGTTGGGGAGAGGGAGCGGGGGTACGGCGTTCCGGGAACGTTCCTCCTCTGGCGTGCACACCCGGAGTAGGGGTACGGCGTTTYCGGAACGCYGCACCCCCGCTCCCTCTCGRCCGGGAGAGAGAGAGRGGGTTCRGGGTTATCAGAAYGCCGTGCCCAACAGAAGGGGGTGAGCGTCCCCTTAGGCTTCGCATCTACGCACTCGGAGGGGGTGAGGCTTTTCGAAGCGTGATCCGATAKAGAAAGGTTTGATATSTGAATGCCTTGCCTTCTACTKTTCGGATTGTGCCAACCGTCAGGAGGAGCATCTGGCGTACCGGAAAAGAGGGTCTATAAGACCTCCTCGATGTATAGAGATAGGGAGTGGGCCCTTGATTGGGTGGGGGGCCTRCACGAGGCGGGATGTGGGGCCGCTGTGTTCCTGAAGAACGCCGCGGCCGACGACTGGTTCTGTCTTGGAGGGATCATAAAATCCGAGGATGAGAGGGCGGACGGGCACGGACGGAAGTTCAGGAGGTTCTTCCTCACGACAGTGTTTGACGAACACGGAGTGGACCACGCTAAGGTTGACCATAAAGTCAGCCTTGACTACAATTTATTCAAGGGGTATGGAGCTAAGGCGATTACCATGCGAGCGTTCGATATATCCCTGAAGGAAGACGGGAGCGCGTTGACGATGCTTGACCCCGTGAAATTCCTCGCCAAAACAAACAGGTACAGGCGATCCGGAAACAGTCCCATCGTACAGGCCGGGCATCGAATGTCTTCGACGCTCGTGCCTTTTGACACGCCAGACGAGGATCTCCCGGATATAGCGAAGAGAGTGAGACAGAGTTCGGCGGATTGTTTTCCAACGCAACAGACCTCAGGTGGTGGGAGCCGGCGTCGAAAAAAACAGAGCCAGCCGCGTCGTCACATCGAGGAAGGGGCGCGAGGTCCTTCTGTCAAATCGGCCCGCTTGAAGGAATGTGCAAGACCGTCTCGGCAGTCCGCCCAGCAACGCGGAGGCACCCCTGTCATCACATCCTCAAGGAAGGGATCGGCGGGTCGTCAGGCTCCTGATCGCCAGGAGGGCGATGGAGGTGCGTCCAGGAGGGCAGCCCTGCGGGAGAGGAGCGAGGGATCAGACGAAGGAACGGAGAACGATTCCAAGATTCATGTCGAGCGGAACGCGCAGGGTAATCTTGTCATCGACGATGAGCAATGTGGGGTCCAAGAGGACGATGCCAACGAGGACATAAGCGAGCGAGAGAGAGAGGGCGAGGAGCGTGAGGACTCTCTGCCCGACTGCGAGGACGGAGAGTCTCGACAGTTCGATGGGGGCGACTATGGGGACGGTGGGGAAAACGATGAAGACTGCCTTGCCGATGATGAGGATGGAGGGGAGGAAGGGTCCGATGATATGGAGGTCGATGAGGGAGCAGGAGATCGGTCGGAGGGCAGTGTGTAGAAAAGGAAGCGGCGATCTTCAACAAGTCCGACGGGGGTGGCGGATAAACGCGCTGCTAAGAGACTCACAGTCGCTGTATCTCGAGAGGCACTAAAAGCTTCTCAAGAGGCGGCCACTGATAGCGTGAAGAACAGAAAAGGGAAGGCGTCAACCAGAGCGACAAAAGCGGAGAAACGTCCGATGAAAAGAAAGCAGATGGTCGACAAGGGTGACTCCGGAGAAGACGCCGAAGGGGTTGCTCCTAGGGCTCCGTCCGAGCAGACAGAGCGTTCCTCTGACAATCGATCTGTCACAGTGGACACAACAAAGTGCTTCTTCTTGGAGTTCGATGAAGATGGCTACGCGAGGAAGGATCGGGTACACATTCAAGTGGATGTAACGAAGATCTTGCCAATTCCGGAAGGTGACATCCTCTACAACCACAGAACGTTGGACGAAACGTTGGTGCGGTCCATATACGATGCGATCCATAATGCGGCCAAGGAAACCAACGGCAAGTGGGATTTCATGACTTTCATCTTGGCCCCCATTGTGCCCAGCCGGGAAACTGCCCCACACTAAAGTTGTGGCTGTGGTGCGGCCACAGTCAGCCCTGGATCTTGGCAGATCAAGGGCTCACAGTGAGCCCGCGATTTTGCCTGGGGGCTGGAGTGACGTCCAGCACCTCCTCAGCAACTATAAAACAGCCAGCTGCCCCCAGCTGCCACACAAAGCATTCGTGTTGCCAGTGTGTGACGAGCACACTTGAGTGCTGGCTGCTGGAGTTGCTGCCTGAGGCAACGTGAGGAGGAGCTGGAGGACTGCAGAGGAGCACCAGGAGGAGAACTGGGCAGCCATAGCCAAGGCAGGGAGCACTCTGCTCCCCTCCCCTTTGGCTGGTGCTGGTCCCACGGGACAGGCCCAGTGGCACAGCGGTACTACGGCAGGCGGCACAGACTTTTACTACGGTAGTACGAGATTGTTGCCGAAATTTTGCTGCGACGGCACAGGCTTTTACTACGGTAGTACGAGAGTGCTGCCGAAATTTTTGTTGCGGCAGGCCTGGTTTTTCAGTGGTGGTGCGGAAGCGTTGCCGTTTTTTTGCGGCGGCAGGCCTGGTTTTTCAGTGGTGGTGCGGAAACGCTTCCGGTTTTTTTTCGGCGGCAGGCTTGTTTTTTCAGTGGTGGTGTGGCAGCGCTGCCGGTTTTTTGCGGCGGCACTCGTGGTTTTTCAGTAGTGGTGCGGAAGCGCTGCCAGTTTTTTGCGGCGGCAGGTCTGGTTTTTCAGTAGTGGTACGGAAGCACCACCGGGTTTTCTACGGCGGCGGTTCCGGGTTTTCGGCAGTGGTGCGGTAGCGCTGTCGGAATCTTTCAACGGTGACTCCGGTTTAACCAGCCATGGTGCGGAAGCGCTGCGAAAATTTTACGGTGGCGACGCAGGGTGTCGCGACAAGTGATCGTTCTAAGGAGTGGTGTGGATTGTTTTGCGGGCGACTCATTGTGACGATCGTCTTCTCTGGAGTGTGATTTACACGGTCTTCCTGAGTGGGCTGTTTCTTCAATTTCACTCAAGGTCAGTCAGTCAGTTAAATTGACTCAGTTCCCTTCACACCTGAGTGAACCCACACTTGCTTCGACCTGTTTCACTGAATGTTCATTGAAAAAGGGAAGAGGATGTGTGTTCTTGCGTGTATGACTGGGAGTCTGACAATGGTAAAGGAATGCATGGTGGTCTGTGTGTCGTTGGGTTTTGACTGCAGGTACGGCAAATGGACTGAAATGGATGAGGGTGATGACGGTGAAAGAATGATTGACTTTTCATCTTTGTGCTTGTGTTCTATGTAGAAATAAAAGAAAAAAAGAAGACGACGAGAAACGAAGCGAGCATAAGGAAGAGAAATTCAACTTGGCTTAGACTTATTCCTGAGGTTACCCATTCTTTCCCGAATAACCCTCTTCCATCTATGCCTGTCAGTCTGAATGACGCTATCTTTCTACGATTCCTTTTTCTTCGTCTAAGTTTATTTTAGCGCTAGGCGGCAAGACTCTACTTGTCTACCGTGTAGGTGTTTGTCCATTTTTCTAGGAGGCATCTCGAGCGGGGGTTCGTTGTCTTAGGGGCCGGCCCTGTTATCGACTTAGAGTGGACCGCTTTGCGGGGGGGTACTATGCCGATTCGGTGGAGACGGTCCGACTTCTGAGATCCGAGTTTTGTACTCGGGCGAGGAGAAGGAGTATCCCAGACCACCTCTTAGGGTAATGGAAAAGGCATCTACACAGAAGAAAATTATTTCTTGACGCCTTGCGAAAAAGGAAAACTGCCTTAGCAATCCTGTTTAGTGGTCATCCTAGGTACCACTAACGTATGGAGAGTTGGCGCCACAAGCAGTCCGACTCATGTCCTACTAGCCGAACGGAGTACAGTTAGATACTCCTGACGTGGTTGGTCGTGTCATAAGAAACACGGGCCGTAAGGAAGACAAAAACCGAATAATACTCAAGGGTAAAAGTTCAACTCAAAACACTTTTGTCTTCTTTTTCTTTCAGATGGCTATGGGAACCACGAAACTATTCCTTTTCAACAATCGTGATGCGACGACAGAGAGAGTTGAACTCCAAAGGCGTGATGGAGTGAGGGTAGAAAGGGTAGGCCGACTTATTTATAATCCGTCCGAATTATATTCTGAGGAGGACGTTCCGCGATTTTGGGGCGGTAGTGCGCAAAGATCTCCCAGACGACTTGTTTTCAGGAGTGATAACGGTCTGGATATTCTTCATTACGAGTTCGCACCGCCATTGCTCGAACGACACTTCGTCAATATGAACTTGGTGATATTGCAGCCATACGAACTCAATCCACGGGTGGACGAGATCCTTGAAATAAGGTTGACGTTCGTTCGTTATGTGCTTTGGCTAAATGAGCGACAAGGCCCATTTTTTGGTATATACTACGTGGAGCGGATGCGTGCCAATAGGTATGCAATTATAGGGGCTGAAACATTATATGATGACGAATTGAAAAATGAAGCGGAAGAACTCGAGGAGTTTTTACGTGACGGATTTGGATTCGTTCTGATACGCAGATGCCTGGAGCACGACGAGACTTGACGATCCCGAGGTAGCTGCTGGTTCGTGATACGCACGAGGAGGATTTCATCAGGAGTGCGGCGCAACTTTTACGAGTACGAGATGGATCTCCTATCGACTGGTTCGGCTTCATTGGACTGCTTCGAAGTGGCGAGGGATTTCTCCTTTATACTCGCGCGAATTTCAGAGCCAACACGGCTCAAACTGCCGATGAGCTTCACGGTTATACTTTGTATTTCCACCGTGCGAGTAACCTCCAATGCCTCTCTCGAGTCATTGTGAGTATCAAGATTACCTTGTCCGGTAGGCGTTTCGGAGGCGTCCGGATCCGGGACACAGAGACTCGACACCTGTTTGGACTTAGTCGACCTCTGCGAGTTATAGTTTGGAGGTTAGCCTCTCGGATGACCTCCCTCTATAACACTCGAATCTTTAGAGTCATGCGATGTGGACGAGTGTCTACCCTGGTTTTCGACGACGACGAGCTGACACGTTTGGATTTGTTGGAGGCACATGTGCGCGGCGGGCGAGAGATTTACCAGGATTAGACATCGCCTTCTGAAATCTTACTCAGATCTCAGAAAACACTTCACATGGACTCAGTCGCGTTGAGGAAACCATATAATTTATGGTTTCACGAGGTAATCTAAAAACAATAACAAAACACTTTTTGTAGTTAGGACCGCCGGATGGATAGTATTCGGATTACCCCGATGATTTCACTAGCATGCTTATGCATTGAGGGGTAATTATTCGCATAAAAACAAGCTGGATAGAGTGAAAAGCGAACGTCTGAAAAAGTTGTCAAGCAAAGCAGCGAAAAATGAAATATTTCTGCGTTGCTTAACTTGGTGTTAGAGGTGAATACTTCATCCTTCGTGGAACAGAAAAAGTAATTATTGTCCGGGAGGACAAAGCGACCAACAAAGTTGTCACTCGCTCCTCCAAATAGTTATATATGGTACAGAAACGTAGTCGAACCGGAAGTTCAAACATCGACCAGGAACCAGATCACTTGTTGATCTGCATGGTACTAGTGATATTGACTTGTAGAAGTTATTTATGACAAACTTCAATTGTCATGATCGTAGGGTCAGTCTTAATTTATGTCTTCAAAATCATTGAGTGACAGTATAAAAGTTCTTTCAGTCATACAGGTTGAAAAATGACACTTTGGCAGACCAGCTCCTTAAGTCAACGATTTGGATTGTGTGATTTTGTTTTAAGTATGGGGATTTTTGTTGTTTAATTGCTAGGGACTAAGGATCGTTTTCACGTTTGGTTGAGAATGTCCTAGTCGACCGGCGTACACTTCGTACTTGGGAGATCAGCGCCCCAGGGAACGAACGACGTACGGGTTCATTCGGCGTTTAGCCAAACAATTCCTATACTGCAGCGAGACGAGCAAACGCCCTCGGCTGATCTACCTCTGCAATTGCACATAAAAACCTTCGCACGTGGATCAGTAGCTCGGTAGGGATATGCCCTTAAGGGTGGTGACAGCCCCTTAGGGATGCAAGCTTATGCCCCGCGGGAACCTGTCCTATCGTAACGGATCGTGGGATGTATAGCTGGCGCACCCGGCTAGAGCGGCGAAGGAGCGAAGCAACCGCGTCCGTGTCGGCGGTTCACGGAACAGTATGCGTCGTCCCCGAGTTGTCTCCAAAAGTTATGTCATGAGTGGGCCGATGCGCACGACAACGGGACCTAAGAGGTGAGTGCAGAATGATATGGTGGGGAGAATGCAACCACCTTACGCTTCAAAGAGATTAGGGTTTAGGCCCTTTAGGGAGGAATATTAAGCCTGTTTAGGCTGTTTTTCTTTTCTTAAGGGGTCTAGGCCTGACAGAATAATGATGCCAGGGGCGAGGTCCCACTAGCACATAGGATTAGATCTAACGCCCGCATCTAGACTGGTTTGAGGACGCATACAAAAAACCGTGATTGAGCAGCTTTTCTGCATCTCCTCCAAGAACCTATCGAGATTCAGTAACCTA